CTCGGATTTCTGCGTCTTGACACAACCCAAGAGCCGGATGAGGTTTGTCAACATGATACGGTGAGCAAGTTCAGACTTAGAATCAATGCCGTCGATTTGGCGGCCATTCTCAGATATCGCAGCGAATGGGACGATGTAATCGAGATCCCATCCGAGCCCGTTCTTGGCATCATAAATATAGTTGACAAGTGCTTCTACATCCTGCTTGCTGCCTTGATTGAACGGGACAACAACGAGTTGAGACCCACGAGCGCCGTACCTGGCGTACATTGCCTGGTAGTACTCGGTCACCTGTCGCGAAAATCGACTGGTTGTTACAATGACTCTGGCACCTCCGCTGATGAGGCCCTGTAGGACTTCAGCACCAATCGAACCGGCACCTGCTCCAGTCATGAGAACATATTTGTCCTGGTAAGTAACGCCAGATTTAGCAGCTTCCTCGAGGCAGTCTAGGTAGATGCCAGTCAGTCGTTTGCTATATTCCCAGCCGTGCAAGTTGTGACGCTTCAGATGTAAGAACGGAATAGTCTCCATCTTGCCCTTGCCGTTTTGGCCATTGGCTTTCAAGGCAGCCTTTTTGATCAACCCATTTGCTTTTCCGGTGTCCTTCGGTAAGATCTGGCTCTCATTCATCGCGAGCGAGCGGAGAACGTTGCCATAGAGGTTCTTGAATTCAAGTTTCGCGGTCTTAGACATTTTGTGCTGCTCTTTGATGAGCTTCACAAGACGCCCAAGGTCATTTTGCACTTTAGTCCGATTGCCGTACTCGGAGATCTTCCCACCTTCTGCCATTTGTTGGACATAGTGTTCGAGCTTGCGGCAACTCTGTCGAGGAACCTCTTCGTAATTGAGATTTCCGCGAGCGTCGATCGACGTGTGGGGACCGGTTGGTACGGCTACATCCTTGTAAGCCGGCGGGACATTCAAGACTTCTTTGCAATTTTCGATGAGCTGTTGCCCAAGCTCCTTAGCAAGTTTATAAGTCTCCCCACGTTCCGTCGGACAGTTGTCGATGTGATACTGCATGAACTCGAGTAACAGGGGATTTGACTTGCTCATGATGCGGATGCATTGGCTCACAATTTCTCTGTCGACAACCTGCAACCGGCCGAAAATAACATCATAAAACATACTGAGAGCGTCTTGACGCGCCCAGTTCCAGGAAGAATCGTAAGTACGTGCTTTAAGAGGACTAAAAACAGGCTCGATACCCGCTGCGTAGAAATCGCCATGTTCAGCACTCCAAAGGTCTAGCTGCGCTTGTAGCACCTGTTGCGATTCTTGTGATACCTGTGCAGCCTTATCACCTGCTCGAAGATCCATTTTCAGGTATCTCGCAAGTAACTCCAACTGTTGCTTGAACAAAGCTCGCTGATCTTTGGTGAGCGCATCAATGGCAGCAGGATCCATCATCATGCCGCCAGAGCCACCGGATGCCGGGCCAGCGGCAACGGCCGTAGATAAACTAATACCAGCGTTTGCAGCATATTTCTGTGTAACGTCGTCTAGATATGCTTTGGCATCGTTTTCAGAGCCTAGACGTGATGCTGGCTCCATAGTAAGGGCTAGTATAAGGGCACCATCTTGTCTGCCAGGACCGAGGCCCCATCTTGTCTCCAGGTACTTGCGTGCACTTGTCATATTAAACCCACCCGGCATCTTGGAAGAAATCAGGCGGGCAATAAGCGACTGGGACTGCTTTCCAAGCTGACCATTGAAGGTCGCCTGCATTAATCCTGATAACTCATCTATAGGGGTATCTTCTGGCTTTTCGGGAGTTGATCCAAATTCTTTTCCTAAGTCTCCGACGATTTCGTTCTGGAGTGTAGATTTTCCTGTACTCTGGTTAGCTCTTGAACCCTATACACGTCGTAGCATATACGGACCTCCGACTAAATCTTTGATGGCTTTGCTTAGAGGTACTTCTAGGAATGGCTTCTTCAACTTTTGCGCAATCAATGCTCTAACTATCTCAAGGGCAGATATTGGAGCATCGTCTATAGCTGCGGCAGGGCCTGCGCTAGGTGCGGGAGCGGCAGCAACCGGGGCGGCGGCTGCCGCGGATGCTGGCGCAGAGCTTGATGATGCCGCTGGCGCAGCAGCAGCAGGCTCTGGTTCCTCCTCAATCGGATCTACGTCGTAGTAAATCTCTTTTGCGTCTTTATTATAGCAGAGGATCTGTCGTTGGATAGATTTGGCAGCATCGAAAGCTTCATACTTAGATGCGATTGTTCTCTTTGCCATAACACCTAGGGTATCCGCTGGCCCAACTTCGACGATACGCTCGGCCGTTTTCTCGCCGAGGAAGACATCTTGAGTTTCGATCCATCTCACGGGGGAGGCAAACTGGTAGGCAAGAAGCTCAACTAGTAAGGTGTGAGCGAGCTCCTGCTCGACTTCTGGACGCATTTTGGGTGGTAAGGTCGAAATAGTTGGGCAAATAGGATTAAGGATAGCCCGCAAACAAGACGAGTTTGAAAGACTGCAATGTCAATACTCTAATGGGTTCTGCTTGTTTAATCTTACGTCGGCTAGGAGGGGACGGAAATCGAGGGTAGACGCCTTGTTCGTGTCCAACAAGCTCTCCCCTCTACATTCAAGTAATACAACGAGGATTCGAGGTGGAAAAGAGCGTATGCCAAGCTCAACTGGAAGCAGTGTAGCCGGCAAGTTTCAGAGGAAGATGAGAGGGAGGAGGCAGGAGGGAGGAATTACTGATGGACGGATCAATGAATTACTGATCGATTGAGTAATTAGGTTTTTAGTATGGGGATTATGAAGCGTCGCCGTCGTATGTCGTATGGCTGGCGATCACTTTTGACAAAAAGTTTGCCTGGGAAAGACAGGCCTGAAAATGTACAAAGTACGAGGAGGGTAGGGTTAGTTTACATGTACTATGTAGGTACGTACATGGGTAACTATTTCTCGAGCGGGAAGGATGCCAAGTGTAACAGTCGAAAGAGCAGAGCTTTCCCAAATGTTGAACTGCGGCTATGGAAAATTTTGGCGGGATCGTTAAGATAGAGGGTTGTGGTTCCCCATTTCCGGGCCAATGGCTGGACTACATGTACCTACATAGTGGATAGTGGGCAACAACCTAGAAAACAACGGCCTAGAGCACCCCCCTTCCCCCATGCCGCAGTCATGCAGCAAAGCTGCAGTGCCACCGCAACTGCTATGCATTAAATTGCAGCAATAGTGACAAAATTGTATCTTTTAGGGTCACTACAACGTCGCCAGCAAGTAGACAAATATGTACAAAGTAAAGACTACATGTAGAAAGGAGAGAGACCTCTACAAAGCATTCATTTGTTTTACTATGATTTGCCGTCGAAACATCTTCTGCCCCACTATTTCTCAACCATATTCTATGGCCTATGCCTATCATAGATTAGTCTCCCATGAGACCCCTTCTCCACAGAGACCTAGAGACCCAACCCACAAAGTTGGGGTTTGTCGATTTACCTTTGCCTTCCTCATTAATATTGAATACATACATAGGTACATACATGTATTGTCTTATTCCTAGGTCTGGGTCTAATGAGCAACTAAGAAACACCTTCTTCGCCATTGACTTCCCGAAGACAGATTAGATTCAACGGCTAAGACTAAAAGAACCTCGTGGTCCTGCCTATGATTTTAGCTCTTGATATATTTTATTTATGTATGCAATTTGGTGGCTAGTCGTCATTCGACTTTAGTCTAATGCAGGCTTAGCGAGTAGTGTCCCCACGAATCCTGTTCCGTGATACCAGGAACCACCCAAGCAGCCCAAGGGTGCGTCTGAATGGCTTGGCGGTAGTTTGCCTGCCCTGCTGCCGTACCATTCCAGCGGTCCAACCTCCACTAGACCTCCATAAACAGGGGGTTTCATGACCCAAGTACATGTACTTGTATGCGAGTTACTAACGTCTATACCTACATATGTATCTATCAGCGATAACTTGCATTACATATTATCTTGATTGTTCCGAGGATGATTCTCATTTCCCAGAGTGGGATTCAAGAAGCGAGGCTACGAACGCCATTGATCTGTATTTGCGTCACATCGTATGGATTTTGCGAGGATCTTCAGAAGCACACTGACTAATAGGGGAAATGTTTACACAGTGATTGGTTATCCTATTGTCTTAATTTCGAAGGAGTAGCAACCTTCCCTGAGATTGCATCATATTACCGTCTCTCTGCATGCTGAAGCCTGTGTAGTACATAGTAGTTCCGATGACACGCATCGAGAGCGGGTTTGGAGATCTCTTTAGCCCTGTATTTTGTTTAAGCAAAAGCCATCCTGCTATCTGCGACGAAGACTCGGAAATGCATGGTGTGGGGGCATGCATACCCATTGCAGGCAGGCCACGTTCCAATGTTCCAGCGCTCCTTTAAAGCGAAGACACGATAATGGCCCGAGGGTTCTCGTTCTGCTTTCGTAATCGTTTTGGTTACCTGCGGTAGTGTTTAACTTTGATATACCAATTTGACCAACAACCCTCCACACTCAGCATCTGCTGACTCGAGACTGGCAGCATGTCCTATCAAATTTGTGACTCTCGAGCTAAATAGTTGCCTGAAGTGGCTGGGGTTATAATCACGAATCATTCAAAAATAAAAGTCGATTTAAGATAGAAAGGAGATATGAAGTCTAGAACTTTGATGCCTTGGGTAAGGAGTAGAATGGGATGAGAGTTGCAGAGGAGCAGAAGGTGGCCTAACCTAGCATTGAGAAGGTATACAAGCGAGTACCTAGCTTGCACTTACAAATATTCAAGTACAGATACAGACCACTGCTGTGGTACCATTAGAGTGGGGTAAGGCCACAGCTACAGGGTTAGGTGGTTTTACAATGTGGCACCCTAACCCAAACAAATCCCCAACAAGAACTTAAATTTTTTTCTGGCGAGGGAGATGTCTTTTGTGAATATTCGCTAGACTTGTTTACATAGATATTTGCGTCGGGTAAAATATACAACGTTGAGAGGGGCTTTACAGGGGCTTTACAAGGGCTTTAATACTGAATTCCAAGGTACCACAAACCTTAACTGCGTGCGTATTCATTGGATGTCGGTAACGAAGTTCCCTTCTACTTGCACCCGACCCGCCACGACGCCGTCTCTTACATATCGAAGCTGCAATACCACATCTTTCCCAGCTTCAGTCCTACCCTAAAAACTTTTCTTTCATGATTCTAACCCCCGTGACAGGTAATCGTCTTCGTCAGTCAGCCCTTCAATAGCAAGGCTGTTATTTACCTGGTCAAATCTGTGGGCGCAATTCCCAAGTTTACCCTCCGAACCACCTTGAATAATTTTCCCCCGCCGAAATATTCCTAACATTACGTCTCCTGCTCTTTACTGAGTTCACGGAGATATAATTAATAGTAAGATAGATCTTTCAGAAGACCCTAATTGACATCTTAATCTCTAACATAAAAATCAGGCACCGATACCTGCCTGCCTCACCCGTTATTTTTCGATACCCTTAATCATGTACGGGACCGCGGGCCCAGGCCCTCAAACGGGCGTATCTACTCCCAGATCAAACTCATCCCTCCGACCTCTCACCATTGTGCATGGATCTCTTGAGGCTTCGTTCCTCGTGCCCACCGGTGTCCATTTCCATGCGTCCCAACTCAAAGACCGGTTTACAGCCGGCCTCCCAGCACCCACCGATGAATTAGCTCTAGATGACGAGCCATCCTCCATAGCAGAACTTGTTGCGAGGTACATGGAATTCGTAGCGCACGAAGTCGAAGAGGGGGAAGATGATGCCCAGGGTTCGTACGAGGAAGTCTTGAAACTCGTTCTTAACGAGTTCGAGCGAATGTTCCTTCGAGGAAACGATGTTCACACCCTAGCAAAGAACCTACCAGGTATTCTCGCAAAGCAGATTGCTGTTGTACGATGCTATTATGCAGCTCGCTCGGTAGCAAATCGTGCTATCAGACCACATGAGTCTGCGCTTCTGAGAGCTGCAGATGAGGGTACTGCTGGTATCTATAGCATCTTTGGTGGCCAAGGAAACATTATCGAATACTTCGACGAGTTGCGTGAAGTATATGAGACGTACCCCTCTTTCGTCGGAGAGCTCGTCACGACATCGGCCGACCTACTTCACACCCTTGCTCTAGACTCGAGGGCAGAAAAGCTATACGCGAAGGGACTCGATGTAATGGAATGGCTACGCAACCCGGATGCAACTCCTGATCCTCAGTACCTCATTTCCGCTCCCGTGAGCTTACCCCTGATCGGGTTGGTGCAGCTATGCCACTATCAAGTCCTAGGAAAGGGGCTCGGTGTACATCCTGGAATTCTGCGAGATCGCATTCGCGGCGCGACCGGCCATTCTCAAGGTGTCATTGTTGCAGCGGCTACCGCTGCCGCGGATTCGTGGGAGTCATACGAGAAGCTAGCGAAAGATGCCCTTACAATTTTATTTTGGATCGGTGCCCGTAGCCAGCAGGTTTTCCCCAAAACTTCGTTGACTCCAGTTATGCTACAGGACTCGATTGATAACGGCGAAGGGGACCCAACTCCTATGTTGAGTATCCGGGACTTACCGCAGAGTGAGGTACAAAAACATATCGATGCCACGAACCAGTATCTTCCCGAAGATCGTCACATCGCGATATCGCTTGTGAACAGCCCTAGGAATATGGTTGTTACTGGCCCGCCGATCTCACTTTATGGTCTAAATCTTCAGTTGCGAAAGGTTAAGGCACCAACGGGTCTCGATCAAACTCGAATTCCTCACACAGAACGAAAAGTTAGATTTGTGAACCGTTTCTTGCCCATTACCGCACCTTTCCACAGCAAATACCTTACCGACGCAACTAAACTGATTGATGAGGACCTTAAAGATGTGAAGATCGACTCTTCGTCTCTAGGAATTGCTGTTTACAACACTTGTACCGGCGCTGATCTGAGAGATGAAGTTAAGGGAGATATTGTCCCCTCTTTAATCCGTATGATCACACGCGACCCCGTCAACTGGGAGAAGGCAACTGTTTTCCCTGGAGCAACCCACGTGTTGGACTTCGGCCCTGGTGGCATTTCAGGACTCGGCATCTTAACTAGCCGCAACAAAGAAGGCACAGGTGTACGTGTAATTCTAGCTGGTACTATTGACGGTGCCGCTCAAGAAGTTGGCTACAAGTCCGAACTCTTCGACCGTGACGAAGAACATGCCGTGGTATACGCAAATGACTGGGTCAAAGAATACGGCCCTCGGCTGGTCAAGACATCAAGTGGTCATACGTACGTGGACACCAAGATGAGCAGGTTATTGGGCGTGCCTCCGATTATGGTGGCCGGTATGACGCCAGCCACTGTCCCGTGGGATTTCGTTGCAGCAACCATGAACGCTGGCTATCATATCGAATTAGCCGGTGGTGGTTACTATAACGGCAAGACCATGACCGAGGCACTGTCCAAGATCGAAAAGGCCATTCCGGCCGGACGAGGAGTTACGATCAACTTAATCTACGTCAACCCCCGTGCTATGGGCTGGCAAATCCCCTTGATCGGCCGGCTCCGTTCCGAGGGTGTTCCTATCGAAGGCTTGACTATCGGTGCGGGTGTTCCCTCAATCGAAGTTGCCCAAGAGTATATAGAAACTCTTGGGCTCAAACACATCGCCTTCAAGCCAGGCTCTATGGAAGCGATCCAGGCTGTTATCAATATTGCTAAGGCAAACCCGACCTTCCCGGTCATTCTACAATGGACTGGCGGTCGAGGAGGAGGTCATCATTCGTTCGAGGACTTCCACCAGCCTATCTTACAAATGTACCCGCGTATTCGACGGTCGGACAACATTATTCTCGTCGCTGGTAGCGGATTTGGTGGAGCCGAGGACACATATCCATACCTTACCGGTGAATGGTCTAAGAAATTTGGCTACCCACCGATGCCTTTCGATGGTTGCCTCTTTGGCAGTCGTATGATGGTCGCTAAGGAAGCGCACACGAGCAGGGATGCTAAGCAAGCCATCATAGACGCCGAGGGGCTTGACGACGAAGAGTGGGAGAAGACCTACAAGGGTCCGGCTGGTGGTGTTATCACTGTCCGATCGGAGATGGGTGAGCCCATTCACAAGCTTGCAACCAGGGGTGTCAGGTTCTGGGCAGAAATGGACAGCAAGATCTTTAGCTTACCAAAAGAAAAGCGCGTTGCTGAACTGAAAAAGAACAGAGAATACATTATCAAAAAGTTGAACGATGACTTCCAGAAGGTGTGGTTTGGCCGAAACAAGGCTGGCCAGACCGTCGATCTCGAGGATATGACATACGGCGAAGTTGTGCGCCGGATGGTAGATCTTCTCTACGTCAAGCACGAGTCACGATGGATTGACCCATCATTCACCAAGCTCACAGGTGATTTCATTCATCGTGTCGAAGAAAGGTTTACTCACGGTACTGGACAGCCTTCCTACCTGCAAAACTACTCAGAACTTAAAGAGCCATTTTCTGCTATTGAGAGGATTCTTTCGCACTATCCTGAGGCTGAAACCCAGATTATAAATGCCCAGGACGTCCAGCACTTCTTACTTCTATGCCAACGTCGGGGCCAAAAACCCGTGACTTTTGTTCCATCTCTAGACGAGAATTTCGAGTTCTTCTTCAAGAAAGACTCGCTCTGGCAATCAGAAGATCTTGCGGCGGTCATCGATCAAGATGTTGGGCGTACTTGTATTCTTCAAGGCCCCACTGCTGTCAAGTACTCAACCGTGCTGGATGAGCCCATCAAGGACATCCTAGATGGAATCCACAACGCTCATATCTCTAACTTAACTCGGGACATATACGCCAACAAACCCGAAGCCATTCCGGTCATTGAATACTTCGGTGGCAAGCTCATTGATACCGAGGTACCATTGGATATCGAAGGCCTTACAGTATCATATGACCAACACAAGAATACATACCGCCTGTCATCGTCGCCCGGCGTTGTTCTACCTTCCGTTGACAGTTGGCTTGCGCTGTTGGCAGGGCCAAACCGCAATTGGCGCCATGCGCTATTCACTTCTGAAGTGTTGGTGCAAGGTAATAAGTACCAGACAAATCCGATGAAGAGAATCTTCGCACCAGTCCGTGGTCTTTTCGTTGAGATTCAATACCCTAATGATCCAGCTAAAACATCCATTATCGTTCGCGAGCAACCGCGACACAATCATTACGTCGATGTGATTGAAGTAAAGCTGGATGGCAAGAGTGAAATTGTCGTTAGCATGATCAAGGACACCACCGCTCTCGGCCAGCCCGTGTCGCTACCACTCCGGTTTACGTACCACCCCGAAGCCGGATATGCGCCAATTCACGAAGTCATGGAAGGACGAAACGACCGTATCAAAGAATTCTACTGGCGTGCTTGGTTTGGAGATGAGACTCTTGACCTCGACGTTCCCGTTACTAGCAAATTCGACGGAGGACGAACTACCATTACCAAGGAGGACATCAATGACTTCGTTCACGCCGTTGGCAACACCGGCGAGGCGTTCGTTGATCGCCCTGGCAAGGTTATGTTTGCCCCTATGGATTTCGCTATCGTCGTCGGATGGAAGGCCATCACAAAACCCATCTTCCCCCGAAAGATCGATGGCGATCTTCTTAAGCTTGTGCATCTTTCTAACGGCTTCCGTATGATGCCAGGTGCAGATCCCCTGAAGAAGGGCGACGAGGTTAAGACGACGGCTCAAATCAACGCTGTAATTAACGAAGAGTCTGGCAAGATGGTCGAAGTATGCGGTACGATCTATAGAGATGGTAAAGCTGTTATGGAGGTCACATCACAATTCTTGTATCGTGGTGTTTATACGGACTATGAAAACACCTTCCAGCGCAAAATGGAGACGCCAATGCAAGTCCATCTTGGTACCTCCAAGGACGTTGCAGTCCTGAAGTCCAAGGACTGGATCCAGTTTGACAGCAATGATATCGAACTGCTTGGCCAAACATTAACATTCCGCCTGCAGAGCTTTTACAAGTTCAAGAACAAGACTGTCTACAGCAGCGTCGAGACCCGTGGTCAGGTGCTACTGGAGCTTCCTACCAAGGAGATTATTCAAGTAGCAAGCGTTGACTACGAAGCCGGTTCGTCTCATGGTAACCCAGTTGTTGACTACCTCGAAAGACACGGTTCTTCCATTGAGCAACCGATCAACTTTGAGAACCCTATTCCCCTCAGCGGCAAGGCGCCTCTACAGCTGAAGGCACCGGCTTCAAATGAGACATACGCGAAGGTATCTGGTGATTACAACCCTATCCACGTTTCTCGTGTCTTCTCCAGTTATGCCAACCTTCCCGGCACTATTACCCACGGCATGTACTCGAGTGCTGCGGTGCGAAGTCTAGTAGAGACTTGGGCAGCCGAGAATAACATTGGCCGCGTCCGCAGTTTCCACGCCTCGCTCGTTGGTATGGTACTGCCCAACGATGATATTCAAGTCAAGCTCGAGCATGTTGGTATGATTGGTGGTCGCAAGATTATCAAAGTTCAAGCGAGTAATAAGGAGACCGAGGAGAAGGTACTGCTCGGAGAGGCTGAAGTGGAGCAACCGGTAACAGCGTATGTTTTCACTGGTCAGGGATCTCAAGAACAAGGCATGGGTATGGACTTGTATAATTCCAGCCCCGTTGCCAAGGAAGTCTGGGATAGGGCCGATAAGTATCTCCTAGATACATATGGTGAGTTTACCCCGTACCTAGTCATAGGTGCCGACCTATTAACATGCTTTAGGCTTCTCTATTTTGAATATCGTAAAGAATAACCCGAAGGAATTGACTATTCACTTTGGTGGTCCTCGGGGTAAAGCAATCCGCGAAAATTACATGCAGATGAACTTCGAGACCATTGCTGCAGATGGTTCCGTGAAATCCGAACGCATATTCAAAGAGATTAACGAGAAGACGGCATCGTACACGTACCGGTCACCCACAGGTCTTCTGTCAGCAACCCAGTTCACGCAGCCCGCCCTTACCCTGATGGAAAAGGCCAGTTTTGAAGACATGAATGCCAAGGGTCTCGTGCCACGAGACAGCACCTTTGCCGGCCATTCCTTGGGCGAATACTCCGCCCTTGCCGCGTTAGCCGACGTTCTGCCCATCGAGTCCCTAGTCTCGGTTGTTTTCTACCGTGGACTGACAATGCAAGTCGCCGTAGAGCGAGATGCCCAAGGCCGATCAAATTACTCGATGTGTGCTGTCAACCCTAGCCGAATCTCCAAGACTTTTAGCGAGGGCGCCCTCCGATACGTGGTTAGTAACATCGCCGAGGAGACAGGCTGGCTGTTGGAGATTGTCAACTACAACATCGCCAATATGCAGTACGTCTGTGCTGGTGACCTACGCGCTCTGGACACCCTCACTGGCGTCCTGAACTTCTTGAAGTCACAGAAGGTGGATATTAACCAGCTTCGCCAAGACTTGAGCATTGAGGAAGTGAAGGGGCACCTCGTTGACATAATCAAGGGTTGTGCTCAAAAGACTTTGGAGAAGCCCACACCCCTAGAGCTCGAAAGAGGGTTTGCTACTATCCCTCTTAAGGGCATAGACGTGCCATTCCATTCTACATTCTTACGGTCAGGCGTCAAGCCTTTCCGAAATATACTCCAGAAGAAGATCAACAAGACTTCGATCGATCCCGCCAAGTTAGTTGGAAAGTATATTCCTAATGTAACAGCCCGGCCATTCGAGCTTACGAAAGAATATTTCCAAAACGTGTACGACCTCACAGGGTCACCCAAGATCGCGCAGATCCTACAGGATTGGGATAGTTATCAGGGAGACGTCAATGGTGCCAACGGTGTTAACTCACCTCCTCCGCAGGTGAACGGTTACTAAAATATGGGTAATATGAGGAGGCGCTGTGGTATTGAAAAACAGTATCGCATTGGCGGTGTTTTGGGCTTGTATTCATCAGCACCTGTGCTACTATATTCACGACGTTCGGATGGAAAAACTTGGTGTTGGGTCTGTCCGCAATAGAGATAGGTTTGGAATGTACCTAGCTATCCAAACAATGAATTATTTAAGAATTTTAACATATCTCGACATATGTTTGACATGATACGTATGATATGATATACACATATGATCTACGAGGTGATGGCAAAGGAAATTAAACTCTGACCTACATGAATTATGTATAATGGCAGCTATATTCTTGCGTTATTCTACAATATAGGTTCCACTGCGTTTTCTAGCTTATATGATCCTAGTCATCCTTGCTGTACTTTCGTCTTGAGGATGCTGTTGTTAAGACTGACATGCTAAGCTACCTTAAGTCAACTTCGGATGCACCACGCTGCCTAGCAACCAGCAGATGTACCAGCAGCCTTTAAGTTGCTACTTGAATAGCACCTCATACATTTCTGCAGCAGGCCTCTGCTTCACTACTACAGTATTACACAGCTCTGTCGATGTACGCTTCTTGCCCCTGTCCCTTTCCTAGCGCATGCAGTTTGTATAATAGGAGGTGCCTTAATGATCATATATACAATTTGTCGAAACCAAGAACCAACTAATTTGAATTAGAGTACAGAATCTTCCGGGAGAAGACCATTCCTCCATCTCATCGCCGAATGCTTATTTGCCCAAGCTAGCACAGCATCGTAATCGGCGCATTCGTGTTTTGATCCCCAGCCTGGACCGTATTCCGATTCTCCCTCTAAGTTGGTATCCGCGGAACACATGATGGATTGGCGGAGATAGTCGAAGCAGTGTGACGAGTGATGGGCTACCTCTTCTGTCAATTTGACGCCGGCGTATCCTTGCTGGTAATGCTCGACCAGATATGACAGGCAATGAAGCTGGTGGAAAACCGACATCATGTATGCGGGTCCGTCAGACGTCCGGTTGATGGCCACTATATGGGGTTTTCCGAGAATGTCGTAGGCTTCATAATCGGGAATTTGGACGTAGCCTCTGGCGTCTATAAATGCCAATCAATGTCAACCAGTCAGATCCCCAGCAGATATTTGATTAGTTGCTTTACATACCTGCGCTTAGCGGTATCCAGTTGTGAAGAGTATGGAGGGTGTCATGTTCGTCGAAGAGCATGTCGTCGCGTACGTACTTAGCATCCGGGAGGAACGTGTACGTCTTTCGGGGAACTTGAAGCATGTGAACAATCAGGATCTTGTCGCTATCAAACTATACTGTGAAGGGGAGCATAGGTACAATTCGGAACTGGAGTTTGTTTGCCATCTATTCGTTGGTAAATTAGATTGCCCAACAGCAGAATTATGATGACTGCCATTGCAATCTCTAGTGCGAGTCGCAGGTATCGTGTTGCCTTGCGAGGGCCCCGTCCTTCCTGAGACCAAGCAACATCTTCCTGGGGCGCCCCGGGTTGAAGGAATGCCTGCTCTTCCTCGTTATCGTTCTCCTTGGTGGATGCCATGGTGAAAGCTCGCGCGAGATTTTGAAGAGGCTAATGCTTAGATTAGAATGCGCTCTAAGCATAAAATCGCGAGACAAGAACACGAACTATAACAGCTGATAATGGGAACGGCGCGGAGTGATAAGTCGTTTGGGGCTTATTAGGCAATGTAGAATTTACCTACCTAAAAAGGAAATTCTACGATGCTCCGTTCCGGGTTGGGTTTAGGAGGTGGCGGGGCCTATAAATAATCTAGAGTTGCACTCATTGGATTATTTAATATTGATGGATATTGAAATAGACTATTTATTGGCTAGCAAATAATAATCAATAAGAAAGCCAAGTTTAAGTATTGTATATGTCGTAGAGGAGACAGGTTTGAAAATTCACTCTATCTCAGCGAACGGGAAAGTGGGTTGGCAGCTTTTGGCTTTATATCAGAATATTTTCTTCTATACTCTATATTTGGTCCAGCCAACCTGCTGCTGCTTTCCTAGTCTCAACTCTAGTATATCTTATATCCCTTTCAACGACGGTTTTGCGTACCGCAAACAAGTCGAGGAGTAAAATAGGTTTCCTGCAATCACTTCTACCATTCCACGAGCAAATCGCCATTGGTTATAAGAAAGGCCGCAGTCCGAGAGTCGTGCAAGCTCTTCGTTGATTTGAAACTCGAGGTCCCAAAGATATGCTCGGAGAAGGACCTTCGCTGATCGAGGTGAAGTACTGAGAAGAAGTTCTAGAACTCTGACGCCGTTGATCAGTGCAGCGCCATGTTTTTTCATGGCGTAGACCTCCTTATCGTACGAGTATAAATCGTTTGCTAATGAGAAGTGTGTCATGTATAGGTGATGTAAGGTTGCAAGGGGCTCCATCTCGGACGGAGAGACGAAAATCTCGCATGTCAACATTATAGCTGCATTGCAAAAGCTATTGATAGTTCAGCACTGTCGCGCGTTTATTCTAACAGGGAGACTTACTCAACACCTAAGTCGCCAATGCGATAGTCAATATAGTCGTTTAAAGACTTAAATGTCATAGATCCGGGCAGGTTATCGCGTGTATGTTGTACCCAGCTCAACATGCCCTTCACGAATAGTGGCCCGACAACGGGGTCCTCTTGTATGCATTCCAGTGTAAATTCTTTAAATATCCTGTTTTTCCACAAGATTTCTGTACTCTTTTCTTCGTGGCCAACAATGTCAGCGAGGGCATCATCGATGATTGTAGATTGCTATTATGGAGTGTTAGTAGGTAATGTCCAAAAGTGAGGTTGCATGACAGTATCATATACCTCCGTAGATTCAACTACATCTGTAAAATACTATTAGCATCACTGGCATTGGTTTAAAATATTGATATTTAGTATTATGCCATTGAGTCTCTATTATCGGAGACCATGTGTTTAACGCATGAGAGTACGCTGGGTGGGTTTTGATGGGTCGTGTTCTTTCCAAAGGAAGATATTATAAGGAGGGTATCCAAAGAAATGTTTACTCCTGAGAAAGAAATGGGAATATCTCACCGTCGTGCATGAAAGTAAGCAATGTTGCTTTAACCATTAGTCTCGCCCGAGCCGCGTTCGCTGCAGGAAACATGTTTATTGCGGCCGCAACACAGGTATCGAGGAGTTCCCGTTGCTTAGCCCCTTTCAAGCTCGAATTGGTAAACTCTGCCGGCAAGGACCCCTGTTCTCCTGGTGCCGCAGAGACAATCTGATCCATCAGAGTTTCTGCTACCTCCTCTGCTTCTCTCCAATGCTTGCACTGTGCTACTGCAGGTATTAATGTTGGCCATGGAACTCCTATAGAGCGCGGATCAAAAACATCGCAATTTTCGAGACCAGGAACAGTATTAGAAATTCCGTCCTTTAAGAACTCAAAGCTTTCGTATTTGGTGTTCGAAGTGAATGGAATCCCAACGGGATCGAATGAACAAGTTATAGGTCGCATGTTGTACTTCGTTGGGAGTAAGTAATAGATAATCGGACTGGCTGAGAGATAATATGAGTAGAAATGGTAGCTTTATATACCATATATCCGTAGTGGCATAATATATTCGACATTCGTCCCTCTAATGTTCTAGACGGGCATTCTAACCAGGTTAACTAGGTAGACTCATGGATTTTAACCGCTGTTTTTGGATCTGCAACATTCGACAAGTCATAGGAGCGACGGAGGTGGATATCTCTGTAGACTAACGTTATATGCGATTTGAATGCATATATGTAGACAAGGTACTCGGAAGAATAATCCCGCTACAGAATGCTACACATAGGGCAAGGTAAAACTCTTCAATACTTCGAAAGCAGACTAGCGGTGTCTGTGTATACCATTTCTGGAGAATAGACGCCATCGGGATGGGACCGCTGCTGCATCCTGGCTTGTCACTAAGACGTATGAAGGTCACTTCAGGATGGGGACGGTAGTACTATTACAGGGACTGATCCATACTTGTAATTAGACGGTAACAATATGTAGTAGATCCATTTCTACTAAAGCGACGAGCTGGCCCCTGAAAGTGGTGTTGGCTTCTTTGCTAGGTTATCCTTGGCCTTTGGTAAGATCATGACGTCTTGGTGATTACTGGGGATCTGGTATATGTAAAATTGAAAGTATAATTGAAGGTAGATAAAGAACTTTGTGGTCCATTTCGATGCCTAAGTATGCGTAGGTGGTTCACTATGGAGATAAAGGTGGATGATAAGTTGAGATAATATTCTTAATGCTTAGCCGATATTCAAGTTCGAGGAATACTCTTACAACAATGAATTGCTTAAACCAATAATCAAGGGCCAGGAAGCCACATATCTTAGACGCCTAAACTCGTATTATCCTCGTTAACATTGTTGGCTTCTGGGTCTTTTGTCAGGGGTTGTCTCAAACCAGCAAGTTTGGCAAGTTGACAGGCAGACAAGCAGACAAGTTGGAATAGCGAAACAACCTGGAACGCCTTTCTCGCCTGCTTTATCGAAAGTACATGTATCTCCTAGGGACAGCATGCCGGATCTATACCTTTACTTTTTTGTCAGAGGCAAGGAACATGAAATTTGCTAGAGGGGCTTTCTACACTTCGTAGTGGTAATTTAAGGCTATGAAACATAGCTAGCCGGCCAGTTTCCAGTCAGGTTAGTAGCCTATTGGTTGAAATCATCTCGTATAGCTATGTCCTAGAATAGGTATATTTCAACATGGATCCTCCTTGCTCGTATAGTTTCAACACTTAGAGGTGATATAGAGGTTGATATATTCTGATACTAAATCTAGTATATTTTATAGGTAGATGTCGGTATAAGCGTTGATGTGTTATAGAGAAGGGGGCATGATGAAGATTATTTAGACGCCATCTTGAATTTAGCGATTACAATCCTAGAATGGCGTTTGGATAACACGGCTCTGATATTGCTACCGATGGCGCGGGAGGACCCCCGTAGTCCCGTTGTGGAGTTAGATGGGATCACCCACGGACATGGATTAGGGTATGCTTAATTTAACGTTGAGGCTAAGAGTGGCGCGTAAGCCAGTAACCTAGACATCTGTGCCGCTTTGAAAAGGGCATGATAATAAAGATGGGGCTCCGAGGATATGGTCTTAAATTTCTATATCTATAGCTACTGGAATTCCTATAGTTACTCTGTAACGATCTGCATCCTCCCACGCTTCTGAATCGCATTCTTAAGATTCAGTCGCTTTAATAAACTGCTATTTCTCTACCAACGATTAGATACACCCATGTCTGATCGTATGGCACCTAAGACTCTAGTGAACTAATTTGTTAACATCGTAAAGCTGGCGTGGTATCTACCCCTTGGAGTATATTAGATAGACTGTAAAAAATGGAATTGCCCCACGCTCGGTTCCCAAGGAAATGGCACAGGGGAGGCGAACCGTAGAAAAAAAACCCCCGACCGCATGCCTTAGCTAGGCACCTACATCGGCACATACAAAATTCAAGCATACGCTTTGACATTTACCTATCCAGGTATGATTAGCAATGCTCCAAATGACGCGCCTACCGAACATGGATATACCAAACATTCTCCAGTACCTAAAGTACATAGGTTGAATGTTTGAGCTGTACGATAAAGCCCCTGCTCTCCGCAGAGAACATATCCCCCAGTAGGTATCCCGTATATGGGGATCTAACCAAGGATATCCAGACGGGTCCCTAATTATATCCTCGTCGGCATTCGGTAGCGACGCAAAGGTCCGACAAATCGGAAACAGAGGTTCGCTTTATCTGGTCCACTACTTTATACGTACCAAAGAAGGATATTGTTACTCCACCGAATAAAAGTAGGCCCTGGCTCGGGAGAGTGTGGAGGTATTGTACCGGAAAAGTCCTTTGCCAGGCTCTCGATGGGACGACATGGGATAATCCTTTCGCAGACTGGTAGGCTAGGTCCACCACCCTTCCTTTATATCGCTTAATAGTTCGCTCCCCTTCTCTTGCGTGATAATGCTATTGGGACCTAATACAAAAGGTCCTGGAGTGAAACAAAGACATTTTAGTGAGTACCCGTAAAGCAATGATGAAATTTATCTCAGTAAACTCAGACTAAAATTCGTTAAAATCGGGCTTACGCTTATCTCAGTTCTCAGACCTGAATTTGTTGAAACGGGTTTCGCCTGCTTGTTGGGTTGGGCGCCACAGGCGCCACGCAACGCTTGGCCTGTGTATTTATATCTGTAGGGTATATGTATAAATTTTAACAAATTTAGGTCTAAAGCCTGTTTGGACCAAAACATAATTTACTTTCTATTTTAGTGGTAAATAATAAAAAATTTAATTTATAATAATTTAATATATTATAAAAATGTATAAAATAGTTTTAATTAAAATAATTTAAAGTTAATAATATATTTAATTTATTTTTTTAACTTTTTTACATATGTATATAACGTTATATTTTTATATATTAAGTTAAAACGTTAAAAAGTATTTAATTTCCAAAATATTATAATTAATATTATATTATAATTAATATTATAATTAACATTATAATTAATATTATAATTAATATTATATATAGGTATAAAATATTATTTATTTTAATTTTAACCTTATAATATTATTGCTTAAACTTTTTTACCTTTTTATATATTTATATAATATTGTTTTTTTATATATTAAACTTTATAACACGTATTATAACTGGTATTACAACCGATATTACAGTTAATATATTATAATTATTACGGTTATTTTTAATACTTTAAAAAATTTAAAACGTATAAATTTAATCGATAAATTTAATAATAAAATTAATACAATTATATAATTAATTATTATTTATTTAATATTATTATTTTTAATAATCTTATTAATTTAACGATATTTTTAAAAAATAAAAGCGATTTTTAATAAAGACGTATTTAAAATAACTTTAAACCAAAGTTTTAATATTTTTTTAAAAAAGTTGTATAAGTTATAATTGGTTGGGGAAATAGTGTGGCTAAAAAGGTATAATCCCATAAACCAAAAAAAATCAAAACTTTAATTTAAAGTCATTTAAGATAAACTTACGCCCGATTGCGCCACAAGCGCCATAAAACGCCTGGTCCGTGTCATTGTATTTATGGGTTATAAGTGTAAATTTTAACGAATTTTAATTTAAAATATGTTTAACGTATTTAACCATAATTAAAAGAGTTTTTTTAAAAATTAAACTTTATATTTATAATAATTTAATATTTAACAATAACGTACGAAATAGTTTTTATTTTTATGATTTAACTTTTTTTATTTTTTTATTTTTTTATTTTTTTTATATATTTATACGGTATTACGTTATAATATTATAAGTTTTAACGTTTAAAAATACGTAATAATATTAAAAATGTTATATTAATATTTACATTTACGCGTTTATATTTATAATTACGTTTAAAATATTTTTTATTTTTATAATTTAAAACTTTTAATTTAATTATTTAAACTTTTTAATTATTTTACATATTTATACGGTATTACGTTATAATATTATAAGTTTTAACGTGGTATATTTTTAAAAACGTTATAACCGGTATTATAATTAATGTTATAACCGGTATTATAATTAATGTTATAACCGGTATTATAACCGGTATTACGGTTAATTATTATTTTAAAACGTTTAAAACGCGTGTATTTAAACGTTTAAAACGCGTATATTTATTAATAATAAAATTAATAAATATTTTAAATTAATTAAAATTTATTTTTAACATATTAATATTATTGTTTTTAATATTATATTTTTAATATTAAATAATTAATTATAATAAAAATCGCTTAAATTATTTTAAATTAAAAATTTAATATTATTTTAAAAAATTGTTTTAAGTTTTAATTAATTAAAAAATAATGTAATTAAAAAAAGTATAATTTTATAAACGATATTAAATTTTTAATTTAAATTTATTAAAATAAAATAAAATCATAAAATAAATCATTTTATAACGGTTATATTTTATAACGGTTATAATAATTTTAAAGTTATCGTTAATTAATTTATTTACATTTATTTATTTATTTTTTTACTATTACTTTTATATTTTAATTTAAAATTTATTAATATAACTTTAATACATTTTTACGTAAATTTTTAATTATTTTAAATAGTTTTTTATTATATTAAAATTATATTTATTAATATATTAATTGGTTTTTTTATTAAATATAACTTTAATTTTACTTTAACTTTTTTTATATTTTTTATATATATAAAAATTTAATTTAAGTTTAAAATAATTTTATAACGTTTTTTAAACTTTATTTTTTTTAATATAATTTATAATTATTTGGTTTAAAATTTAACGGTAATAAATTTATTAATTTTTATATTAAAAACTTTATTAATTTTATAAAATAAAAATTATATAATAAACGTTAAAAAAATAAAATTAAATAAATCGAATTTTAATTATATAATTTTTAACTTTTATAATAATTTAAACATGTTAAAATCGATTTTAACCATTATAATTATAAAATTAATAAATTTAAAAATAATAAATAATAAAATATAAACTTTATAAATTAAATATTTTTACATAAATTTATTATTTATATAATTACCGTAACCGTTAAATATAAAAATTTTTTATTAATCGAGATTTTTAAATTTTATTTATTTTAAGTGATTTTAAACCCGATATTTTCGAGGCGGGCTTCGCCCGTTTACTTTGCCACAAACGCCACGTAACGCGTGGTTTATGTGTTTGTACTTATAAGTTATAAGTAAAATATTCGAAAATATTTGGTTTAAGGTTATATAACGTTACA